GGATATTGTGTTTTTAGGCAATTGACAACTCAACTAAAGAAAGCAATTTGTCATTTTATCATATATTTAAAATAAAATTGATGATAAAATCAGCTAGTCACTCACCCCTGACCCCTTGCCCAGCGAGAAAGTTGATAGAGTTGGACAGTCTCATTTGAGACATGGCATGCCAAAAGTAGATAGTTGCGAGGCTGTACCATCCATGCGAATCTCATAAACAATGCAGAATAAACGCACATTGCTGCAGAACCAAATCCAAATTAAATTTACTCCTGCCACATAATATATACTGAAAATAACTTACATCCTTGAAAACCAGTTATTTTGGACCTGCTGTCATGTTGCCAGAAATCATTTCTGGAGGTTTGTTCATATCCGCCAATCCCTGTTAAATCAACCCGTTATGATCAGAATTAGTCAAAAACCAAGAAACCTCATTTGAAATCAAATGCATTTTAGAAATTATGGAAGTGAAGCATACAGCGGCAACGAAGCCCCAGTTTGCAACAGGTCCCCAAAAGTGAGTTGTTTTTGGACCAACTGGACTGTTCAAGAATGCTCGGAACGACGACGCCATATTTGATAACTGCCGCTTAGAATCTCTGTAAAGTTGGAAGAAGAAAAAGACAATTCAACAATGACAAGATACAGTGCCAGCAGCACATATGGGTAAAATCTGAACATAGGCCTTGTTTGGCATGCAGGATTGGATAGGATTATTACATAGTACTATATTATACGGGATCATATTTAACATCTTTAATCCTATCTTATGATTGGTGTTACATGGGATAAAGAAGTTGGATAATGCTAAAAATTGCTATTTCAGACATGAAAATTGAACACTGGCAAACAAACAAACTTTTCAACTGAGGAGCTAGCTAATCAGGGTGTTTTAACTTGAAACCAGTTGACCATACCAGCTATGCCAAATTCTTAACTCCCGGAGATGACCCCAACCGATATCATATAGCAAGTATGCGAAAACATAAACTCACTGTGAGAAGGAGTTTGCCTATTTCACAAGCTCTTTTTTTTTTTTTTTTATCCCAGCAATTGGGTTAATGCCGTATCAATCTTTGATCCACTCTGAGAAGAACAAAACCACCATATGAAAATTTTCATTTTCACAACAAGAATTCAACTTCCATGTGTCGAAACAACGAATGCATTAGAGCATCAAATTACTGTTTAATTGCTTAAATGAACATCAGAAATCATTGAAGCAGTTAAAAGTCAAAACTAGAACTTCAAACGATATACCCAATTGCAGTCTCAGTCACACACACATGTACAGACATTTAAACATTGCAAATACCCGTGAAATGTAAAAGGGAAACAAACCCAAATTCAATATTGTATGATCAAATGAAAAATTCAAGCTTTATCCTAACCTAAAAGAATCTCAAATATTGTCAGAGAATTCAATCATTAAAACTCACATGGCAATCGAAAAAAAAAACGCAAGATCTTAATCGGCGAAGATGATGAAGGAGAAGCACAGGGGACGAAGGAGACACCGGCCACAGAAGAATCTCTTATGACAAAGAAGTCCAGAAAAGAAATAATCGGAGATGACATGGTTTGGTTAGAGATGGGTGAGGTTCGCTGGAAACAGCTCAAGTTCGCCGGAGGTGATTGGTGAAGAACCTAGTTTTTGTGAGAATGCGAAGGTAAAAGAGTCCCACATTGGAAAGTTGAGAAACCTAGCAAGGGCTTATAAGGAGTTGGGCTACTCCCCTCATTGCCAATTGGTTTTGGGGTGGAACCTCAACTTCCTTCAGTTTTATCGGGGTTTGTTTGTTCTATATTTTTTAAGGTACAGTGCATTAAGCACGAAGGGGCTAATGATGAATTTCAAACTATCTCACAGAAAAATGTTCTGGATATACAAGACCCAAATAATGTGGACAGGGGAAAAAGAAACGAAACATAAGGATCTGATCAGAAAAAATATCCAACTGTGAATTCCAAGATTGCGTGTTTACATGCTAAAGAACATAAACAAGTTGATATGTTGAATTGGAATGCAATGCTCGGCAAGCTTTCTTCCTTTGTTGTGAATAAGTAAATCATGAGATAGATGAACGGCTAGATAGAGCATGACTAATGAGCTCCCTCCTCAAGATCTTTCCTGCCTGAGATTTTGGAATCGAGTTGATAAACAATACACGTCGAATCTTCTTGTAGGGTGCAACCTGCAATAAGAAACCAACTTCAATGTGATGGCCTGTAACATACAACTTCAAGAGAACTGGAAGTGCGGATTTTTTTACAAGTATTCAGGAGCATACTTGTTTTGCAACAAAATCCATAACTGCAGCCTCATTGATATTGCTTCCAGGCTTTCTAACTACATAGGCCATGGGAATCTGCCCTGCTTCTTCATCGGGATACCTGCTTCAGAAACGCAATCGAGCAGAAATCAGAACTAGTATACCTTGAGGAGGTAAACAGATACATGAGATGTACTGCAAATTCTTTCAGAATCTTCCACCATGTGACCATGCTACTTAACTATGCAAGACAGTGGGGGCAATATCATCAGCAAAATATCCATGAACATTTTCTTCACCTCATATAAATTTTTTTTCTGCTTCAATGTTTCATATGTTCTTGAGTATTTTCTTTTCTCAGGTAAGTACTTCTAAACTTTTAAGAAATGACATTTTCAAACGTGGCAAATAAGAGATTACAGTCATCAATTCCAAGATTGATGCCATAGAACATGAAAAGAAACTAGCTTTTTCACAAGCAAAGAATGTCATGGTACTAGATACATACGGAATCACAGCAGCGTCAGCAATGTCAGGATGGGATTGAAGTATAGGCTCCAACTCAGCTGGGGGTACCTGCAATTTGTTCCGGACATAGAGAGACCAAACAACAATGGACTGATCAAATACTTATACAACAATCTTTGTCATGAGTTTAACTCTCAAAGGATCTCACTTGCAATCACCTGATAGGCCTTGTACTTGATCAACTCCTTTAACCTGTCAACAATGTAAAGGAACCCCTCATCATCAAAGAAACAAAGATCACCAGTCTTCAACCACCCGTCTGAGCTCAAGGTCTCTGCAGTTGCCTTGTCATCTCCTATATAACCTGCAAATGGTTTTACAAAGATCAGCAAAGGCTAATGTTTTATTTGGTGAAGCCATGGCCACAAAGGTGTGTGAGCAGAAAATTCAAAGGTATTTTTCTTTATTCTTCCTGCAGTTGAGAGTTGAGAAACACTTATATATGGCTCTATGCGTGAATTTTAATATAGTCATATGTGCATTAACTAGATGCTACTAAACCTCTATATTGATCCCATATTTTCGGATAAGCGGCCCACAGAAGCATACCGTTTTGACTCTTCCGGGTCTATCATCCTCGTAACCCCTCCCCCTTCGGTCAAACCGTATCCCTGAACAAACCATAATATTATTCAAGCATTTGTCACGGAAGCAACCCCCATTTCCATTTTGGTATTATTTGGTCACAAAAGCAACCACTCACACACATTGACCTTGCTAGATTCAGAAGCTCCTCAATTACCCTTATCCCCATTCCTTTTAAATAATATATATTAAAATAAAATCAACCGCCTAAATTTAAACTGCCGTACACATAGAGAGACCAAACAACAATGGACTGATCAAATTCTTATACAACAATCTTTGTTATGAGTTTAACTCTCAAAGGATCTCTCTTGCAATCACCTGATAGGCCTTGTACTTGATCAACTCCTTTAACCTGTCAACAATGTAAAGGAACCCCTCGTCATCAAAGAAGCAAAGATCACCAGTCTTCAACCACCCGTCTGAGCGCAAGGTCTCTGCAGTTGCCTTGTCATCTCCTATATAACCTGTAAATGGTTTTACAAAGATCAATTAGATTTGAAACTACATTGTCTCTCACTCACACTAACAAAAAGGTAATGGTGTCACGGCTCATGGCTATTTCTGCAATGTTGGACACTTACCTTTCATGACTGTTGGACCTCGCAGCCACAGCTCGCCAATCCGGCCAGGAGGTAAGGCCTCTCTGGTTTCGGGGTCAACAATCTTGGCTTCCATATTTTCAGATAAGCGGCCCACAGAAGCGTACCGTTTTGACTCTTCCGGGCCTATCATCCTCGTAACCCCTCCCCCTTCGGTCAACCCGTATCCCTGAACAAACCATAATATTATTCAAGCATTTGTCACAGCATTTCCATTTTGGTATTATTTGGTCACTGACTATTTGCTTTAAAAACTGAAAAGTCTTAATTCAAATTAATCACAGTTCTGTTAACCACAAAAGCAACCACTCACACACATTGACCTTTGCTAGAGTCAGAAGCTCCTCAATTACCCTTTTCCCCACCCCTTTTGAATGATATATATTAAAATAAAATCAACCGCCTAAATTTAAACTGCCGTACGTAATTCCGACAACGGATAATTTGATTTTCTGACCTGCACAATTTCCACATTGGGAAATTTCTCAGTGAATCTCTCAGCAACCTCCTTCCCCAGAGGCGCGCCGCCACAGCAGATACGCCGAAGCGAGCTGAGATCGTATTTCTGAGCCAGCTCGGACTTCCCCAGAGACACGATCAGCGGCGGCGACACCGGCATGTAGCTGACCTTGTACCTCTCCACGGCCCTCAGCATCGCTTCGAAATCGAACCTCTCCCTTAAAACCAAGGTCTCGGCCGTCGTCACGGCCAGAACCAGCATGAAGAACCCGTACACGTGGAACAGAGGCACCGTGAACAACGAGACGGTTTGCTCATCGGGTAGGGTCGGGTCGGGTTCGCGTCGCAGCGCGTGGAAGCCGGCTAGTTGGGCGATGAAGTTGCGGTGAGTCAAGAGAACGCCTTTGACTCGTCCGGTGGTGCCGGATGAGAAGAGAATCGCCATCGAGTCGGTTTGGCTGACCTCGATTCCGAAGTCGGGTCGGGTGTCGGATGATCCGACCCGATTGAGCATGGACAGGAACTCGGGTGAGTCCAGGAGGATTATGGTGCGGAGCGCATCCCTGGGGAGCTTGTGAGCGGTTGCTGACGTGGCGAAAGCGATGGAGGGTCGGCTGAGTCGGACCTGGTGGGCAATCTCGGACTCGGACCCGATAGGATTAGCGGGCGAAACGACGACGCCTAAGGCGAGGAGGGAGAAATAGAGCACGGGGACGTGGAGGGAAGTAGGGGAGAGAATGAACGCCACGTGGCCTTTGGAGAGAGCGGGGGCAAGGGACTGGAGGGAGAGAGTGAGGGAGTGGACTTGACCGATGAAGTTCTCGTACGAGACATGGCGGCCGGACTCGGCGTCGATGAGGAGGGTTGTGGTGGGCGCGGGCGCAGAGGATTGGAGGAGGGAGAGAGCGAAATGGGTGATGGAGAGGAGTTGGGAGAGAGGCGGTAGTGGAAGTGGAGGTCGGAGAGTGTGGAAAGTCTTGGTTTGTGGACAGTAGCCGCTCATTGGATTGATCCTATGCCTATGGTTGGGATTTGTTTGGTCCGCCATGGTTGATTAGAATTGGAGCTCAGCCACAGTCAGACAGTATCATGGTAGGTAGGTAGGTGGATCTTGAGGATCTTGAGGTTGAGGATCCTTTATTTTATATTTGAGTTGTGCTTGGAACAGTTGCATACGCATGGGAGTGGGCGCCACTTAATCATTGACATATGCAGGGTTCGTGACAAAGGATTTAATCGTCCATGCACGCCCATGCCTATGATTTGTTTACTTGTGGAGGAGCTTCAGCAAGGGCTACATCCACCAATGCTTTCTGTTCACAAATTTAAATTGTCAAACTTCGTCATCACTATATATGTAGTTGGAAGTGATGATGAAGAAGATATATGATATTATAAAGAAGGAAAATAATAAGGAGGGGAGATTTTGGTAAGGATGAGATCATCAGATATATAATAATCACGAGTATATAGGTAGGTGTATGGATTGAGCCAAACGCAAAGCCTCTGATTTGTCTACTTTTGGAGGAGGTGGTGCAAGAAAAGAGCTGCATTTTGACCAACTCTTGGTGGCAGCAGGCTTCATCCATCTCTAAAAGCTCTACGCAACAATGTACGTACACGAATACATCCTTGCCATGCACCATATTGTTACGTAATTCGTTTCCACAATAATCAGATATTCTTTTGCGGCATTCTGCTGCTGTTGCTGTTGGTGTTATTATTGTCACAACCATCAACAACAAAATTGTAATAGCATTTCGATAAACGTTGTTGAACCTTGCCATTATTTTGTTTTTGTGAGAACCTTTTCTTTTGATGACAAAGAATCCCTCGAGTCTTCTCTTCTTCGAGATTAACAAACAAAAAATTGTGTATTAATATAGGCCAATTGCGCAAGTATATATTCATCATGTTTTTTTTTTGGCGTACACGCGATAGTCTAAATTATCGGGGATGAGGTTTTTTACACTCACACAACAAAGATGGGGGTTTGAACCTAAGACATCTAGTGTACAAGATCAAGACCCTTTATCATTGGGTTAGACCCCATTAGCAAGAATTTAATAGAGTTAAAAGTAGAACTTCATGGAGTTAACAAGTCTAAAATATGTATAAAACAACGCATGCTCAACATTAAATTATAGGGAGCTCATTGCGGATGCTCAACTCAATATTTTTTTTTTTTGAATTGAGGACATGTATTTTGTTTTTTGTTTATGAAATAAAATATGTAATTATTTTCCGAGTAGTATACATTAATATTTAATATTTAAAAATTAGAACAATCAGAGTCCAATAATCCAAACATACAGACGAAATACAAAATCGTAATATTTAAATTATTCAACCTGTTTTTGGACGCAATATTATTCAACTTCTTATATTAGTCCAACACTGCACCATAATATAGGCCAATCCAAGTGAATCCAGTGTGGTCCCTATAAATATTCCCGTCCAAACATACAAAACTGAGGAAAATAGGAAATGTACGAATACCCTGCAGAAAAAGGGTAAAATTTTCCTAAAACCATGATGAAGCTGTAGGCAAAGAAACAGCAAATTTAGCTAATCGATGGGCCACTTTTCGTTTTAGTTGATAGGAAAGAAGATGTGAATTTATAAGCACGCCAAGTATTGATCCATTTAACATTAATAAACACAAACACAAATAACTAACTAACTAATTTGTTTGCTATTCATCGATAATTGGAAGTCGTTAACTTAGGCGTGCCGACCGTAGTGTTAGTATCCCTAACATTATTATTGTTTTTTTTTTTGCATGTGATCATGTCTTAACACTAATAAACACAAACACAAATCACCAACTAATTTGCTTGGTATTAAGTTAATAATAATGACAAAGTTGAACAATATTTATCCAAATGCTATTATAATTTTATTAGTGGTCGTCGTGACAATGATAATAACAACATCAGCAGCACCAGCAGTTGCAGCAACTCCGACGATTTCTGTATCGGATTCGGAATGCCGCAAGAGAATCACCGATTACTGTGGAAACGAAATACGTAATAACATGTTGTATGGCGATGATGTAAAAGTGCATATATATGCATTGTTGCATGGAGCTTTGGGAGATGGGTGAAGCCTGCCACAAAGAATTGGTGAATGCAGCTCTTGCACGACCTCCTCCCAACGTAAACAAAATAAAGGCTTTGAATATTAGTACATCACCGTGGGTCTTTTGTAGTACTTGGCTTTATGACTCCGTATGACTATTTCTCATCGAACTTTACCAAAATCTCCCCTCATTATTATATTTTCAAACTAAATATATGTGTTTATTTTAAATCTTAGTGATTGATTTTGATTATATATTTGAAAGCAATATAAATTTGCGATGGATTATGCTTAACCTAAACCAACAATAGGGTATTTACTAACCCTGAACACATCAGAGATTAACTATAGTGTGCCTAAAACTAACAATACATATACAACTTTTGAATTCTCGCAAGAAACAAACACTCAACCAACAAAGAGTTGATGCAATTATTACAACTCGAGAAACTGTAAATACACCAAAAAAAAAAAATTACAACTCGATAATTTTTTATTATTTTATATATAAATAAATAAGTCATGAAGATTGAAAGATTAGAAGAAAAAAAAAACCTCACACAACTAATAGCAAGAAACTCACAGTAATTACAACTCGGAAATAATTGCACATCTTTCATAATGAAAATTACATGTTTTCGATTCAAAAGTTTTGGAGTTAGTTTTACACAAAATGTTCATCTCTCTCAGTAGCACTACAATCTAAATTCAGTTTGTTTGGTTAGTTATGATGAAAGAAATTTAGCAAAAGGGATAAAAAGAAATCAGCAATCAAGCAATCAACCTGCTATGGCTTCTAAAATGCACCCAAAATAATATAGGTCATCCTTCTAATGGTTAACCCGTCCGATTTTTGGTATTCTCTTGTGCCTTGGCAAACCATGATGCCCTTCTCTCCTCTTGGCAGATCTTGATGACTTTGGTTATGCATCATTTGTAGAGCAAAGTGTTGATGTTCCTTTAGTAAATGTTGTTTGGTTTCTAAGATTTGGTGTAGTTTGTTATTAACATCCAAAAACTCTATGAGTTGTCTGGTTTTCTCTTGTAATTCCCAAAAAAATTGTTACATTTGCTAAGTAGTCTAGTTTCTCTAGGAGAGTTATGCCGGTTAGCAGCCATGTTTTGTCCTTAAAGTAACTGACTTGATCTAGGACAACTTAGACGGTAGATAGGGGTTTTTAGACAAGTTCTTTGCGATTTATTCTCTCTAGATTGTTTCAGCTCTAGAGTTGACTCTAAAGTTTACCCATGCCCGTCGTATTGCTAATCGATATGGCTCTCTATGTACTTTTTCAATTGATCTAATAAAATATTATCGCTTGTTAAAACTATTAACACAAATCATTAACTACTTTGCTTGGTATTGATTTAACAAAGAAAGCCGAATAATGGACGAATAACGTCATTATTGAAATGAATAAATTTTATGGTTTAACTTACTCATGAGTTATATGACGCTTAACAAATCAGTTGGAAATAAATGCATCATCAATACTTGGCCGATAAATACACTTTGTTTGCCATCAAAATCAAAAGAAAAGTAATAGAATTCTACAAAATAAAAATATAAGGAAAAAATAATGGCAAGGCTCAACAATACAAATTTGGTGTTGGTGATTGGAACAATAATGATAATAATAAGCTCATCACCACCTGCAGCTGCAGAAGTTGCAGCACCAGCCTCAACCTCAACGACAGTTTCTCTATCGGAATGCCGCAAAAGAATTCGCAATAACTGTGGAAACATAATACATAATAACGTGCTGTATGGCGACGATTTTGACCAGGAAATGATCTATTGCATTGAGCTTTCACAGATGGGTGACGCCTGCCATAGAGCCTTGGTCGATGCAGCCCTTGCTCAAGCTCCTCCACAAGTAAACAAATCAAGGCATGGAGTATTAGTAGAGCCCAATGGAAGATTTGTGATTATTGGACTCAAGCTCTTCCAACATGGTGGGGGTGAAGGGACTATTATATCTCATCCTTACCCGATCTTTTCCTAAATAAAAGTGATTATTGGCCTATCCAAAATCACTCCCAAACGAGCCCTAAATACTGTAAACAAAAATATTTCTTATTCATCTAGTTTTATTTATTTTTTTGCAAGGATGATCTAAAAAACACATTGATATTAAAACTGAGTGGTTGAAGAAACATTATTATTAAAATAAATAAATTCGTAGTTTAACGTTTTGAGAGATGTCTCCAATTTTGCTATATTCTTATGTCACAGTCACCGATTTCTTCCAGAAGTTTTTATTTATTTAAAATCAGGGGTACTGTTCCCTCAGTGCATACAGTTATGGATCTTTTTTCAACTATTGTCTACTGTTGGGTCTTGCACTTTGCTTACGTGTACAACAAAAGGAAATGCAAGCATGAGATCCTTCGAATTGAATAAACCTGCAACAGAAGTTGCTTCTACTGGTTCTTCAAGAACATGGAGTGTAGGTGGTGGTGGCAGTATCTTATGTTTTCGGCAACGAACCGGGAAGGGAATGAAAGAAGCAGCAAGCTACTCGGACGCCGGTTCATACTTCTTCTGGGTAAAGTACCTATAATAAAGCAAGCAAAAAACAATAAATCTAAGGATATTGTGTTTTTAGGCAATTGACAACTCAACTAAAGAAAGCAATTTGTCATTTTATCATATATTTAAAATGAAATTGATGATAAAATCTGCTAGTCACTTACCCCTGACCCCTTGCCCAGCGAGAAAGTTGATAGAGTTGGACAGTCTCATTTGAGACATGGCATGCCAGAAGTAGATAGTTGCGAGGCTGTACCATCCATGCGAATCTCATAAACAATGCAGAATAAACGCACATTGCTGCAGAACCAAATCCAAATTAAATTTACTCCTGCCACATAATATATACTGAAAATAACTTACATCCTTGAAAACCAGTTATTTTGGACCTGCTGTCATGTTGCCAGAAATCATTTCTGGAGGTTTGTTCATATCCGCCAATCCCTTTTAAATCAACCCGTTATGATCAGAATTAGTCAAAAACCAAGAAACCTCATTTGAAATCAAATACATTTTAGAAATTATGGAAGTGAAGCATACAGCGGCAACGAAGCCCCAGTTTGCAACAGGTCCCCAAAAGTGAGTTGTTTTTGGACCAACTGGACTGTTCAAGCATGCTCGGAACAACGCCATATTTGATAACTGCCGCTTAGAATCTCTGTAAAGTCGGAAGAAGAAAAAGACAATTCAACAATGACAAGATACAGTGCCAGCAGCACATATGGGTAAAATCTGAACATAGGCCTTGTTTGGCATGCAGGATTGGATAGGATTATTACATAGTACTATATTATTCGGGATCATATTTAACATCTTTAATCCTATCTTATGATTGGTGTTACATGGGATAAAGAAGTTGGATAATGCTAAAAATTGCTATTTCAGACATGAAAATTGAACACTGGCTAACAAACAAACTTTTCAACTGAGGAGCTAGCTAATCAGGGTGTTTTAACTTGAAACCAGTTGACCATACTGGGATCATATTTAACATCTTTAATCCTATCTTATGATTGGTGTTACATGGGATAAAGAAGTTGGATAATGCTAAAAATTGCTATTTCAGACATGAAAATTGAACACTGGCAAACAAACAAACTTTTCAACTGAGGAGCTAGCTAATCAGGGTGTTTTAACTTGAAACCAGTTGACCATACCAGCTATGCCAAATTCTTAACTCCCGGAGATGACCCCAACCGATATCATATAGCAAGTATGCGAAAACATAAACTCACTGTGAGAAGGAGTTTGCCTATTTCACAAGCTTTTTTTTTTTTCTCCCAGCAATTGGGTTAAAGCCGTATCAATCTTTGATCCACTCTGAGAAGAACAAAACCACCATATGAAAATTTTCATTTTCACAACAAGAATTCAATTTCCATGTGTCGAAACAACGAATGCATTAGAGAATCAAATTATTGTTTAATTGCTTAAATGAACATCAGAAATCATTGAAGCAGTTAAAAGTCAAAACTAGAACTTCAAACGATATACCCAATTGCAGTCTCAGTCACACACACATGTACAGACATTTAAACATTGCAAATACCCGTGAAATGTAAAAGGGAAACAAACCCAAATTCAATATTGTATGATCAAATGAAAAATTCAAGCTTTATCCTAACCTAAAAGAATCTCAAATATTGTCAGAGAATTCAATCATTAAAACTCACATGGCAATCGAAACAAAACGCAAGATCTTAATCGGCGAAGACGATGAAGGAGAAGCACAGGGGACGAAGGAGACATCGACCACAGAAGAATCACTTATGACGAAGAAGTCCAGAAAAGAAACAAGAGATCGGAGATGACATGGTTTGAGCCAGAGATGGGTGAGGTTCGCTGGAAACAGCTCAAGTTCGCCGTAGGTGATTGGTGAAGAACCTAGTTTTATCGGGGTGATATGATGAAGATTGGATTCGAGGAGAAGGCTTGGTGTGGGCAAGCCCACCAAACAGGCCCATGACTATTAGAAGTGAATTTGCCACCAATCTGCCTGTAACGAAACTTGCTCCTGAAAACTCAGCTAGAAATGCTCTCACTGGCCTGAAAACTCAGATGCGGACGGTACCTACTCCCACCCCTAACTCTAACATAGTTCTAAAACGCCCACAACTACCGTGATGATGGTAATGATTGATATATACGTCAGCTATGTATGTATGTACGAGAGACGTACCTTATCGGAGAAATAGCCGGAGTGATTGGGGACGATCGGCTATTGAATTACAGAGTAGGGTCTCTGGAGGGGGATCCCGGTAAGCTAACAAGGTCTGAAGCATGCGATTTTCTTTTTAAAAGTCTATTTCTAATTTTTAATTTTTAATTTTTTGGTCAATAGAAGCAGGCGATTGGGAACAATATGAAATGGTACTGTTATTCAGCGCCAATGTTATTATGACACGTGTCAAAGTAGAGATTTTAACCAGTGAAGTACTGCTCTGTCTCCATCATCCAGTATTGTTGGAGTAGCTAGTTTGTAAACATATGGTTTGCACACATGGAGTCCTAGCTCTCAGGCTCAGCTGCCTGCCCCATTTCCACATTGGCTCAACTCAAGTAGGAGTTTCCTACTTTTTGTTTGAATTTCGTACTTTTTTTGTTCATCTGATGTACCATAGAAACTTCTGGAAGGTATTTCTTACCTGCATTGCTCGGCCCATGTTTCCACCATTTGAAGGTACAAAGATATCACTTGCTCAGAGAGACAATGTAGTCAATGGCAGCCAGAGCTGAAGTTCTCCGTCTCGCCCAACATCTCCTTTGTCAGTCCCCAAATGCCTCACCTCCTGCGCTGTATATCCATGCACCTCTTGGAGCTCCTAGAGCCTTAAGAAATCTGCATTAGCACAACTTGTGAACATGCCACTGAAAAAAATAGGTACTTCAAACTGTAAAGTGACAACTCTGCGGTTCTTCTACTATACCTTGCTATTTCCAATGCATTTAGAGGGCAGAGTCCAGGAAGTCACCGCTGGATGTAGCAAATGTTTACTCATCCAGTGAGGTATTCGGGTTGAGACTCCAAAATCTTGGTGATAATGTCATCGTATTCGGGGCCTAAACCAGTGAGGCATCCGGTTCTGACCCACACATCCTTCTCTAGCCAGAGTTGGAGTGCAATGTAAGGCCCTTCAATCCACATTCTGTTATAAAAAATATAAAAAATATAGTTTTCCTTTTCCGTAAAGCCAAACACAAAAAAATATTATATTATAAATAACATATAAATAAATAGGAAAGCTTTTAAGGTATAACGAAATTGAAGAAAACAAAATAATAGGTAAGTAAAAGGAAAATAAATAATAAGTAAGAAGGTGAGTTTGGTACGGTGAAGCACGTCAAAGACGCTGTCCTAAAGCCTTTGTAGCCTCCCTACGTGCAGGTACTGACGGTCTACAAGACTCCAAGATACGACCCCTTGTACACAAACTCAAGATCCGCTATGAGCACGTTCATAGACGGATATGGGTATCCAAGTCACAGAACCATTGCCAAAATAATAATATAAAGTAGAGAATATATATAAAAGTAGAAAAGGAGAGAATCAGTTTATGGTGGTGATTGTGGTATGTGATATTCTGATGGTGTAATGTGTGTGTTTCAAATGTGAAGGAGGAGTGGCCTTTTATAGGCATC